TCTTGTTATGGCAAAGAGTTTTTTTGTTTTTGTTTTAATGCTGATTTTATCATGGACTCCTTTCTTTGAGGAACATCTATTAACATTCCATGCAAATGTTCTAAATAATGGGGTTTAGGAAATGCTGATATAAATGGGTGGTCTGGGTTTTGGCATCCTCCAGCTAACTGGATTCAGATTAAACATAATTTCTTAATTTTCACTGTGTCCTCTATACAGATTCAGCGCTTGATTTGGCCATGAAAGCAGGTTATTACTTAAAGCCAGAATGTTTGTAGACTTGCGATTTTATTCTTTAAAGGGTTATTTTCTAGAATGATTTGTACGGATCTGTGACAGACTCAGAGAAGTGTAGATATTTTTTCTGTTGGCTGTGTTCATGCGGAGCCATTCTTTCCTCCAGCTTCACTTTGAAGTTTTATCTGAAAAATCAAAGTTGAAATACCAAGTCCTGCTTGAGAGTTAGGCAAGCTCAGAAGCGAATGGACTTCCTTTATAGAGAGGAGCCAAGAGAGCTCAATTCTTGGGAGAACCAATTTTATTAGAATATTTCTCTCTGTGAGAGATGCTGGGAAGCCCTACAAGGAACATGCTAGTTTAAATAAAGCAGACAGCGGGGACAGGGCTCCATGCAAGACATGTATTTTCTCTGTATATCCATCAGAGTAATCAATAAATAAGTGAGAGGTGGCCTCAGATTTTACTGACCACAGAGACTTTGCTAGTACAATAATTTTGTTATCAATCATCATCTTCCATTAACTAGTCTTTCTGCTTCTGCTCTCTCCCAGAATTCTTTAGTGTAAATGAAAATACTTTATTCTAGCCTGGCAAGAATTAATTTTCTAAATCCTCCTTTCTCTTTGTACCAGCCAGGAGGTCTGAGATCTGAGAGATCTTCTTTTGCAGTTACACCACTTCCTTAAGCCCCGAGTGTAATTCAGTGCTTAGGCTATGCGTGAGCTCATGTTACTCCTTCATTTAGTGAAAATATTTAAATGATAAATTCTCACTTCTTACTTTTCCTACAATTTCTAAATTTTAGTGTAGTCCACAGGGAAGTGGAAAATATCCTTCCCACCCTCCCTCAAATGACCACATTAGTTCTCCTGCCTTTTTAAATAAAACTATTTTAAAATGTTTTCTTTTGAAAGTTTTCAAACATCTGCAGAAGTAAAGAGGACCCTGTAGTGACCCCCAAATGCCCATCTGATCCTCTTGATTCATCAGTGATAACGTTTGTTACACTTGCTTAATCTCTACCTTTTTTCTTCCTTTCCTTTTCTTTTTTCGACGGCAATAGAATTTAAAATAAGTCATGTCATTTTACCGCAACTCCTTCTGATTTGTATATCTGAAAAAACCCAGGACACTTCATTACATAATCTCAAAATCCTTACCACCCCTAACTAAATGAACATATTTCCTTAATATCACCTAACGCCCAGTCCATATCCAATTGCCTCAAAAATCCTGTTGCCTCATAAATGCCTCTTTGGTTTGTTCAGATTGGGATCCAAACAAGACCTTCTCATCATATTTGATTGTTATGTCTTTTAAATTTCTTCTAGTCTAGAATAAGTCCCCTATCCTTCTTCCTTCTTCATGCCTCTGACTTACTGAAGAAGCCAGGTCAGTAGGACGTGCGTGCGGCATTCTGGTTTGTCTGATCGCTTCTTTATGATGTTGGCTAAGTCTTTCTTCCAGCTCCTGTGTTTCCCGAGAGCTGGAAGTTAGATGTAAAGGCTTGCTTAGAATTAAGGTCAACTTTTTTTTTTTTTTTTAAAGTAATAGCACTTTCTAGGTGGGGCTGATTGCAGGAGGCACACACGTGTAGTTGTCCTCCTGGGGATGGAGAGAGCCTTTGGATCCCATTGTGAAGTTCGCCATCAGCCTCTCCTCTGATTATGATACGTTCATACCCACTGACTATCGCCTGCAGCCGTTATTTTATCAAGGGTTGCAAAACGGCGAGCTTTCTAACTCTATCCTCTTTTGGGGTGGGTTTCAACGCACAGAAACTGTCTTGGCAGCAGCGAAGCCCAGAGTAACTTGAGCGGAGGAGAGAACCGAGTCCAGGTCCTAAAGACTGTCCCCGTGAACCTTTCCCTAAACCAAGACCACCTGGAGAATTCGAAGCGGGAGCAGTACAGCGCCAGCGTCCCCGAGAGCCCGGCCATCATCCCCGTGTCGGGGATCACGGTGGTGAAAGCCGAAGATTTCACGCCGGTTTTCATGGCCCCGCCCGTGCACTATCCCCGGGGAGACGGGGAGGAGCAGCGCGTGGTGATCTTTGAACAGACTCAGTACGGTGCGCCCGCCATGGCCAGCCACGGCACCTACCTCAAGGATGACCAGCGCAGCACCCCGGACAGCACTTACAGCGAGAGCTTCAAGGACGGAACCTCCGAGGTGAGTCCCCGCGCTTCCGTTAGTCATTAGAACCTAAATCCAGAACCCCCAGCCAAGTTCATTTTAAATTTAGAAACAAATTTTATTTAAGATCTGTTGAATTTTTTTTATTTTTTAAATATGTTTTTATTGATTTTAGAGAGTGAGGAAGGGAGAGGGATAGAGAGAGAGAAACATCGATGAGAGAGAAACACATCCATCGGCTGCCTTCTGCACACCCACACTGGGGATCGAGCCACAGCCGCCACCAGGCAACCCAGGAAAGTGTCTCCACCGGGAATCGAACCAGTAACCTCTTGGTTCAGGGGTCCAACGCTCAACCACTGAGCCAAACCGGCTGGGCCCCTCAGCTAACTTTTGTTCTCTATTTACTTTTAAAGTGGGATAAATGAATTGAACTGTGAGTTGACAGCTATTTTTTAAAAATGTGTTTGTGTCTTTTATTATGAGCAGGTTTTAATTAACCATTGGTCTAGGTATGTGGAGGAATATTTTTTTTGACGCTTATCTGACAGATTCCTTTGTTTTAGTTTTGATCTTAAAAATTAAATATTTATAAGGAATGAAGAGATTTTTGTGTGGAAACTTCCTATTTTTTAAAGTTTTTACCTTGACCTCTTCTAGTTTGTAACTTTCCTGAAGGGTAGCTAAAGTTGTCTGCCTATTCTTTTAAAAAACAATATAACTTTCTTCGACCTTGTCTGATTGAATATTCAAGAAAGAATTTGTATTTTCAATAATCAAGTGTGTGTATACGTACTTTGTACCTATTCTTCTCCTGTGCCCATAGAATTTACAGAAACAGTGATCTCCGCTTGCTTGTTTGTTTTAAAATCACTCCACATGGGAATGTGAGGTACATGCTTTTTCACTAAAGGGTTGCCCTGATGTTTTTCTTACATGATGTAGAAATATTCCATTAGTCACAGAAGAGTCAATGGATGTTGTCCAATGTCAACGAACCATCATGCTATTTGGGGGATGTGTTATCAGTTGTGTTTGTGTTGTAGATAAAGAGGCTGGTGAAAGGAAGCTATTGTATTTGGGGTTTTATTCTTAGGTGCATGAGAAAGTAACTTACCAGAAACTATATATGAAGATTATTCCCACTGTATTTGGAATATTTGGAATATTTTAGCTGCTCTCCTAGTCTTGGAAATCGGTGTTTACCTTACATATTGTATTTCAATCTGATGTGAATTAAATGGAATGCTCTATGATGATCTTGAGCTGTGGCATTGCCAACAGGCTATAGATTAGGTGAGCTCAGTAACCTCACCAAGTAAATTTCACTAAGGAAAATTTGTCTAAAATCTAGTATTCTTTTAGGAATTATTAAAATGTCTAAGACCCTTGTTGAATGAGCAGGTTTCATTCACTAGTAGAGACTGACTCATTTGTGTGTGTGTGTGTGTGTGTGTGTGTGTGTGTGTGTGTATAGTGGTATCAGGAAGGGAGTAGTTTGACCTAAATAATTAAGAAATATATAGATGTGCTACATCAATGGCGATGTTGGCTGTCTGCTTGCCTTTAGGCATCCTACAAATTATATCGAAAGATTTCCAAACAGTTGTGAAAACTTGGTAACTGTAGCCAGAATGGCCCAGCATTTTGGTTCTAATTCTTCATACTAAATCATTTAGGGCCATGTGACCCATTAGTGTGAGCATGTCTCATAAAGGACAGACCTTCCCTGCCATTAAGAAGTACTGAATCTGCATTTCTCTCATTAATCCAGTATTCCGTCCCCTGTCACACTTAAATATTAGGGAAATCATTTAGAGCAATAATTTGCAACCATTTTCTGTAATGGCTATCTGGTAAATATTTTAGATTTGGTGGCTTGCAGTTACAAAGCTAGAACTTGACCCTACACAGTCTTGCTCTAGAAACTATGCTCCAAACCACTCTACTATTCACAATCGTCCTGTCCAATAGAACTTTCTGCAATGAAGGAAATTGTCTTTTATGCTGTCCCAGATGGTAGCCACTACTTCCATGTGTCAGTGTAACATTTGTTACAATGTTCTCAATCTTGTTAAGAAATATATAGATGTGCTACATCAATGGCTACGTTGGCTGTCTGCTTGCCTTTAGGCATCCTACAAATTATATCGAAAGATTTCCAAACAGTTGTGAAAACTTGGTAACTGTAGCCAGAATGGCCCAGCATTTTGGTTCTAATTCTTCATACTAAATCATTTAGGGCCATGTGACCCATTAGTGTGAGCATGTCTCATAAAGGATGGTAATAGATTCCAAGTGGACTCTACATTTAATTTTTTTTAAATTTGAAAGACAGTGTAACAGAATTAAGGGAAAAAATTTAAACTTGAGAATAGTAATTCTGTGTCTAAAACATATCAACTATTTTTTTCATAGTTCTTGTTCACATGCACTAATAGTTATTGGAGCGATTCTTTATTTCAGTCAGCATATAGACAAATCTCTTTGAGTCTGAACAGTTGTAGTATATCACACCTTTTCATATCACCCGGGGGATTAGAATCACAGACGTTATAAGTCCAATATGTTTTAGGAGGGTAGCCTATCCTCAGGCTGCAGAGCTCTATGGCATGGACCATAAATTTATTCAAGGCCGTGTTTATTAATTCTGGTTCACCCTGTGTTGTTGCAGGTTATTACATATTCCTTCAAAGACTTTGGAAATACATCCCCTCTATCTCTAAAATGCTTCCTTAAATATCTTTTTCATCATGCTATCCTCATACTCCAAATTTTCCTAATTCTTAACTAAACTAAATATAAATACCTTTTTTTTAATTAAATCTTTATTGTTCAGATTATTACATTTGTTCCTCTTTTTTTTCCCCCCCATAACTCCCCTCCTCCCAGTTCCCGCCCC